CCCGGCAGCCCCTGCTCATTCCTGGAAATGCTGTTTGGACAGAAGCGTATGAGCCCCGGGGAGCCGCATGCCACCACTGCACCCTGCCTCCCGGCTCCAGCACGGCCATGCCCTCGCTGGAAGTATCCCCAGGGAACGCGGCCGCCCGTGCTCGGAGTGGGGTCCCACCAAGGTGGCCTCACAGCCTGGCGACTGAGCAGCAAACCTCACGTCTCCCACCTACCTTTCTCCTTTGCTTGGGAATGAATACCCCCGAGTCTCTGACGTGCCTAACAAAGCTGACATTTAAGACTCAGATATGCAAGTGGGGTGTAGACTTGGGGGGAATCGGTGGTGTCCGTGGCCTCGCTGGGATACAGCCCTTCCCTTCTCCTCAAGGAAGTCAACCAACCCCCAGAAATAAAAACATTCTTCCCAGAGAAACTGCAGGGAGAGCTTTTCACCCCTGGGATTTATGCAGTATCCAGAACAGTGCAACAGCAGCCCCGGGCTGTGAGCAGTGGAGTGCCGTAGGGGTGGGGGTTTGTGTCATTACACAGAAGGAAGAATTTCCATATAACCAGAATGCAGAAAATAAGGGAACCCCCAGCGCCGAGTGCTATCTCCCTCTCACATCAGCCCTTGCTCTCCCCCAGTGCTTGCTGGCTTCCCTTAGCTTATTGCACCGACGATGAGCAGCATCACGACTCGGTGCCTTGCATCTGCTTTTATGGCCGCGGGACTCTGTCTCAAGAGCGTCTGGGCACCTGAAACAACAGACTCCACCTAGAGAAACCGAGGGATGTGAGCAGATGGGAGAGCTGAGGAATCCAGGTGGAACTAGAGCAAAGAAAACCTTTCCACTAACCCCAGTGGAAGGCAAGCTGTGTTTGTTTAGCCTTGATCGGTCCTTGTTCCAGTGAATTTGATTAGGATGGCAGGAGGTTGTCCGTGGAGTTGGAAGACCCTGAATGTTGGATGTGCTTCTGCAGCCCCTCTTTCCCAACCCAGAAAACCTCCCTTTAGGTCAGTTGTCCCCTCAGGACAGCCTCCCAGCAGTAACCGAACCCCAGCTCCACGCTGGCATGGAGACCCAACAACAAACAGCCCGGCCCGGGCACCTGCCCAGGGCGCCTTTCTGAGGAAGCCCTTCTGGGAAGATGTTCTGGGAACATCTCTTCCAGACATCAGACCCCCACCTCCCACCGCCTCTGATTTGTTTTTCCTGAATCCTTGGTACAGAATATTCAGAACCAGGAAAACCAGAAAGAAAACTTGGACCAGAGGTTCCCCAGCCTGTTCAAGAAGGGACGAAGGAAAACAGTTGTCAGGAATCTGGGGAAAATGATCTATTACTCCAAGGTCAAGTTTAAGTTTCAGCACTGCCAGGTAAGCTGCGGCACCTGTTTGTGGGCATTTCTCTTCCCAGACGCGGAATGACCCTGCAGGACTGGGAAGTAAAGTGTAATTCTGGGAAATGTGACTCTCAGAGACTTCCTCGGGCTACTGCGTGGCGCAGGGACTTCTGCTGCCACGCGGTGGTTGGGTACCGGCTGGGACCCACGGGCTCCCATCCCATCGGGGACCGTTCTCAGCTGCTGGGCTGGCAGCAGATCCACCAGCAGAGATGCGGTGGTGGCCCTTGGATAAGTGACCGCTGGCTTTTCCGTGCACAGATCAGTCTGAGATGCAGAGGGAAGCCGGGAGGAAGAAGGCGTCCTGAGATAAACCCCAAAACGTGTCTTTTCTGCAGGAGGTGAATGATTGCTTCTTGGAGCTGTTCCAGTCTTACCTCTACTTCCAGTCTACGGGCTCCAATGGACTCACCTACCAGGTAGGGCATCTCCTGGACATGCTGGGGCAAGCACTGGGGAGTCGGGCAGTGTGGCCAGGCTGGGGGCACTGGGGGGACGGGACGGGACAGGGCAGGGGGCTCTCCCCCTGGGGCTGCCACTGGCCTCCCCTGGGTGATCTCAGCAAGTCCCTTCCCGTGGATGCCAAGCTCCTGGGGGAAGAGAGCATTTCTTCCTAAGGACCCAGACAACCTCAGTTTCACCTGGGTCCTTGTCCGTGAGGAGAGATAAAAGACCCCGTAGAGGTGGGATAGGGGCTTACGTAGGGCTGGCAGGCAGGACCAGGGATGAGGGGTGTTTAGGCAGCCTGGACTTATCTTTGTGTAGAGCACCAAGCGCACAGAGCTGTGCCTTGGTAAGGCTCAGAGCTCCCATCGCTCAAAATCCCGCTGGCCTCGGCGCCAGTGGTGGGCTTGGCCCTGGCTTCTGAACCAAGGGGGAGTTCTTCATCTGCAGGGCAGGGGAAGAGGCATGTGGGAGAGGGTGGAAAGAAAAACCTGAGGGTAGCCTTGGGGAGCTCTCCTGGCAAACCATTCATCAATCTTTTAACCTGGTGATGCTGGTGAATTACAAACAATAGGCTGTTTTGCACATGCAGCCAAAAAATCACAGCTGAACAAGTAGGAAGCCCTGAATGTCCTCTCCCTCTACATGACTGCCGAACTAAAACTGAGCATGGCTGTTTTGTAGATGTTCATAAAATTTGTTCCTTTTAGAAATGATTTATTTTCTTCTAGGTGACTTGAGATTAATGCAATATGCCAGTACAATCTCGAGTCATCCAGCAAGCCAGCCTTCGACTCGAAAGACACATGTCAGAATACAAACAATATTACAAAATCTCCCATCTACTTTACAAACAGTTCCTTAGCTTATTAATTCTAGAGGAATTAAAAAGGAATTAATGTGCCAGTACTGGCCCCTAGACATTACAGCAGTTAGCATCTTTTACAGTCCTTGTTTAGAAAGCCCAAGACAGGGAGCACAAACTTGTCATCTGTTCCTGTGCTTTGTTATAGTGGGACTCTGAGGAACTGGAGTATAGAAACCGGACAGCTCAATTTTGCTTTATGGTCACTTCCATCTTCTGGCTTTCTTGTGTTAAAGCAGCAATGTTTTTTTGAGGTTTCTCTTAAAACTGAAAGACTCGGAGTATAAAGAAAGTGTTCTTGCCAGCATGGCAGCTGATTACTGCAGTACTGGCCCCACGAAGCCCAGGGAGCTGCTGA